CATGCTCAGCCTTCATTTGGGTTCAAGTAATTCCTCTCAGTTACATTAACCTTGATCAAGCCCTACCAGGCCTCCTACACTGGGAGGCTATCACTGAGAACCTCTCTAGACCTCTTCGAGCTATCAATTTGGAAGCAAATAGAAAAGCCATAAGCACTTATCATCTTGGAGTGTGTTTGTAATATTCTTTGCATATATAAAAATAATGCAAATAGATTAGGGAATAACTGGGGGTGGTGGGTGGTGGTGTTTGTTTTGCTGAAAAAAAAAACCTGCACAGTTCAGTACACAGGGGTGAGTGATTGTAAAACTAATTAAGCTGAAGCTTTAGGGCCTCCCCCCTGTGTTTTGGAAGAATTGTCCAATGTTCAGGTTTCACAAAAACAAACCTGCAGCTGCCTCTAACACATGGCGCTCATAAGACTCTCGGGATACAGACTGGGCTGGGGGAAGATAAAAAGTCATGGCTAAGTACTATAATTATTCCATACAGCAATCACACTAATACTTATAAAAGCCCTATAAGCTCGATACCATTTCTTCTATAAAAACTGCATCGCTGAGGCACTCTGAGCTCCCCAAGGTCATCAAGCTGGCCTTGCCCCAGATTCGCCTACTACACCTCCAACCCAGAGACTTCCAGCGCGGGGCAAAAGCCCTGCCCAAGGCTGGAAGGCGTGTGTGTCACCAGGGGAGGAAGTCCTGGGGCAGCGGCCCGTCGGTCTGTCGGGAGGACAAGCCAACCCCGCCCTCACGCAGGCAGAGAAGCTCCCCCTCCCAGGCGCTCCCTCCGCGTTCCTGCTGAGGATGACAACTGAGGTTTCTTGTCCGTCCGAGCCACCGTCGCACCCAGCGTCGGGGCCGTCCCTCAGACGTGCCCTGTGCGCATGCCCGGGAGGGAGGCCGGGTCTTCGCTCCAGGAAGCCAGGCGGAGAGCAGGTTGCGGGGGACGCGGCGGTGGCATTTGCCGGAGACACCTGAGCGTGGGCCGGAAGTGGGGGCGCCGAGCGCGGCGCCGCGGGAGCTCCCGAGCGGACCGTGGCGGCGGCGGCGGCGGCCCCTTTGCTGGAGGAGGAGGATGAAGAGCGACGGAAGAGGCGCGGGGGGAAACGGCTGCGCGGCACCCGGCTGCGTGCTCCCAGCCGGCTGTGCTGCCTAAGAACTAGTCGAAGTAAGTGGGAGTCCCCGGGGCGTCCGCGCCTGCGGGCCGGGCCGGCGAGGTCGGCTCCGCACAGCGAGTGTGGGGCCGCCGCGGGCGCCCTGACAGGTGGCCAGGCCGGGCCGAGCTGAGCCTGCCATCCCGCCGGAGACGTGAGGGTCAGGGGAAGTAAACACACGTCCCACCTTCAGGTATGGGAAAGGGTTAAGCGTGGGGCTCAACGTAGGAGGCTGTGACCGACACCCTGGTTCCGACGGTCCCAGTCGACTGGGACAGCTGCCTGTGGCGGTCACTCCGGAAAGTGTTTTAACCCTGAAATCCCACAGCCGGAGAAGAAAAACGGGAAAACAGCTCCAGAAAGTAAGGTGCGCTTATGCACTTACCAGCGGCTCTTGTATTTGGGACCCAGAGTGAAATTTAAGTTTTATTTACAAGCCAGTACTTAGAAATCATCCTCGCCACCAGACCCTTCCACACACGGGCGAGAAAGTGGAAGACAAGATCAGTTACCGGGTTTGAGGCCGGAGTAGTTCTGATCTGGCCATTTCAGAGGTTTAGACTCATAAGATCCTGGCAAAGTTTGTTGCGCTGTTTTCCTTGTTATTCTTGTTGGAAATAATAGCTTGTGCATGCAATAAAGTTGCTTGTAGATTTTTTTAATTGTGCAAAATACTTCACCAGAGTTATTGCCCAATACATCTGAACAGCAAGCAACAAAATAAGCTTTTGCTTTAACAGACCTCTTTTACAAATGTGTTCTATGTCATAAGGAGTGCTGGCAGCATGGGGGCCAAGCACACTGCTGCTAACAGAGGCTGGCAGCACCCTCATCCCCATCAGCACCTCCTAGGGAGAAAGAGATGCAGTCAGCTTGCGTAAAGACTTGCAGCCGTTTGGAAATTCTACGGGACAATTCCACTCTGTCCTGTAGCACCACTAAACATAACTCAAACTCACCACCATTCAATCCGTTCTGACTTCGTGACCCTGAAGGACAGGGTAGAACTGGCCCTTTGGGTTTCCAAGCCTGTCACTCTTGGTGGGAGCAGAAAGCTTCATCTTTTGTTTGGTGGGTTTAACTGCTGACCTATAACCCAGCAGCCCCGTGTGTATGTAGCCCACTACATATGTATATATGTCGCAGGCTTTGAGCTGACCTGTCGAAACCACCAGCTGCTCCTCGGGATAAAAATAAAGCTTTCCGCTCCTGTAAAGATGTGCAGGTACGGAAACCCAAAGGGCCAGTTCTGCGCTACCCTAGGCAGGAACTGTGAGTAGGAATCGACTCGATAGCAGTGGGTGAGAGCAGTGACCGCCAAGTAAAAAGGTCCCCCATGTTTTGCTGATTCAGTTTTCCTAATCCTCTCCATGTTGTCTTTTGGACATTTGATGCAATATCTGTGTGCCTGCTTAAAGGAATCACAAATGTTCACTAACTAGTAAATTTCATTCCACTCAGTATTAAATTTAAAATACTAAATGCATTCCACTCAGAGAGCACTAGAATTCATGATTGACTTTCTAGTGTTTATTTTACCTAAGACATAAATTGCGCAATTCAGTAATTGTTAACAGAGGCCTGGTGATGCTGTGAATTAGGCATTGAGCTGCTAACAGCAAGGTGGGCAACTCCAACCCACCATTTTTTTCTGTGGGAGAAAGATAAATCGGTCTGCACCTATAAATATTAATCTTGGGAATGCTATATGGGTCAATATGAGATGTAATTGATGTGATGGCAGTGGATTCCAACATTTTGGCTTGGATGTGCCAGACACTGCTATACACCAAAAGTACAGAAATGCTTATGTTTTGATACTGCGATCAAGGAATGGAAGTCTAGGTAGGAGGGATAGATAATGTAAGTAGTTAAATTACACTGTGATATACTAAGTGCCATCATAGACACCTTTACACTCTACAGAATCTGGCGGTAGGAATGTAAGGCAGACTTCCTGGAGAAGCTGTTATCTGAGCTGTGTCGTGAAGGGAGACTAAGGTTTTGACCTAATTTCTAGATACAGATACTCAAGGTAATCTCCAGGGAGGCTTATTATTTTCATCCAAATCTGGCAGAGCTCTATGTATACTTACTTTCACTTATTCTGCTTTGGAAGGTAATAAAATATTTTAAATTTTGTTTCATGCAACCTGGCTTCCGAATCACGTTGATTTCAACAGTTTTTTCCAGTTATGTTTCATCTTACACATGAGGAAACGCTCATACATATTTAGAGAGACTTAGGGAGTTAGGCTACCACTCCAGAAACTACTACCAGAAAATGCTGTCCCATTGTAGACTGTACCAGACAGCCTCCCTGCTGATAGTTAATTTGGAATTTTGAAAGGACATCGTTTTAGGAAATTGTGTGTATCCTCATGACACTTTTAGGTAAACATTGGACTGCTCACTGCGAGGGCAGCGGTTCAAACCAGCCTTGGAAACCCGGTTTAAAGTCACTATGGGTCGGGGTGGACTTGATGGCAAGCTCTCTCTCTCCTTTCTCAGTCACACCTCAGGCCTCTGTGCTGTCAGAACGTAGGCTTTCCTCGCCAAGTTGTCTGGGGACAAGAGAACGTTGTGAGTACAGGGAACTCTTGGACCGAACGTGTTCTTGATTTTTCCTTGAGTCATTCACCTCAGGAGACTCTCTTTCTCTTGTTTTCATTAATTAAGGACTCGTACTTATTGCTCACAGATGTAATTCTTGTTTAGTTACATCATTTCTAACGCCCTTTAATACCCTTTGTAGTATAGACCTTAAGAGGGCTCATAATGTAAGAAATTCTTCTAATTAAGCCTGTTTTTTCTTCAAATGACAGACTTCATAACACTATTGCAATTTTACACTTACTGTTTTATACCGTTCTTACTTCTACACTAATGCATCTACTGGAGTCCCTTACAGAGGTGTGGTATTCTCAAGATGTGAATTACATGTACTTATGAGCTGGTCAGGCAATCTACCCACTTCTATAACACTCCTGTTAATGAGATGATCAAGTCTCAGTTTCATTAACCAATTTATAGGTAAAGTTTTAGAATATTACCCCTTCATAAGTTGGAGCCTGCTAGAAATTTAACCGTAATTCTAACACCATTATTTGCCTTTTTATTTTTGTGGATTCTGCCCCCTCCTATTTTCTTTCTTACAGATATTTAAAGTCTCAGAACAAATTGTGATTAGCTTCCATAGTGACAGTAATGTATTATCTCTCTTCTTTCAGCATTGACTGTAGGCATATTTGCCACGTCGTCTGTTATGAGTGAGGGGAAAGTGTGAAAATGCTACTGTGTTGCTGCTTAGGATAATCTGTTTGAGGTATTTGCTTAAGCAGCTTTAAATTCTAGTTTATAATGCTCTCTGAACTCTTCAATTACTATCCAGTTGTCTCCATGGGCAGTTACTGTTCATCTGTCCCATAGGACTATTAATAGACATTAGAGAGAAAATTTATTGATGACATGTGGGGGTAACCATTAGAGAAATAGATAATTCATTCTGTGGTGTCTCTTACATACCGATAGCAGCTAATTGTGTTTCCATTTCAGCCAAGCAGCTGGCATGGTTTCTGCACAATGCCTAACAGAAAAAAGCATACATTGGTGAAAGAATGTTGAGTCTCATTTCTATATAACTTGAAATGTGACGGGTGAGAGAAGTGATTGGAGGCAGCTAATTTCTCGGAGTAATTAATGAGCACCAGAGGATACTGATTCTTTTCCTCTGAGAGCTGTATTAGCAAGGATACAGGGATTTGCTTTCAACTTGTCATCGTCTTCATTTGAACCTAGATCTTTTTCCTTTTGGCTGTGTTTTAAATGTCTAAGCAATTTTTATGTTTAAACAAGCTGTTGCTAAAATGATCAATTTATAATACACTGGGATTCCTTTGGAAATAATAACATACTGAAGGCTCAAGCCTTTTCTCTAAAATTGTGCTTAGGATTGTGTAGCTTTTAGTGCAATTGTTTTTGTTTTCATATTTAGGCAAATATACATAAAAACATACTTCTAAGTTTTCAAGGAACTTTTCTTGGCAGTCAGTAAATTAATATGCAATATGCAATATGAAAATTTTAACAATTTAAAACAATTTTAATAAGCATATGTTTGTTGGTCGATTCCAACATTTATTATATCATTTTTTCTATAATTGAGCAATAATAGATTTGCCTGATTTGGGGATTAATTTTTGATGGTTCTTGGGGCATGATAATTAAAATGTATCTACTCTTACAGTTTGAATTTATTCTTATTTTGGGGATTTTATTTATATTTAGTTTAGTTTTTGGTTTTTAATAAAATATTTGCTGAGTAAGGAACTGAGCCATATATATATGACTTCAATGGAAGAGTAATAGTTTTGGGCAGAATAAGGTGTTGAATATAGTTGTTATTCTAACTTGCATCAATGTTTAATAAACTGTTGGCCATGATTTCCATTACTTTTTATTGGAGAGAATAAATGCTATGTTTCATTACTAAAGCACAGGAAAAACCTGCTGAACTCTTAAAAACTCGTCGTCATGACAGTTCCATGTATATGTCTGTATTCCCCTATTTTTTCCCTCTTCTCTCTCATTAACTACTCCTAAAATAAACTTTGTTTTACTATGTAAAGATTTCTTAGTTAATAAAAAGCATTTTCCTTAGTTTTAACTATGTATACTGAAAAAAATCGTGCTGCCTTGATCATAGTGTTCTGGTAAATAAGAGACAGTATATAAACAAAATACATAACAAACTAACTGAAATATAAATTACTACATTTGTGCACATCTGAGATTTGTAGAGATCTGTAGTGTAGTGGGTTGGTTACATAGTGACTGCTAATCACAGGGTGAGTAGTTTGGGGGTACCAGCTGCTCCGAGGGAAGAAGATGAGGCTTTCTACTCTGGTGAAGATTTAGAAACCCACTGGGGCGGTTCTACTCTGGCCTATACAGTTGCTCTGGATCAGAATCCACTCGATGGTAGTGACTTTGTTTTTGGTTTTTAAGGTTGGTG